AAAAGAATTTGTAAAGGTGTAGCACATGGATTACACCTAACGATGTTCATAAAACCTTGTTGCTATAAGAATAGTCACTGATGCCATTATTAAGCAGGAAGAAACAGTTGAAAATTCTTATTTACCCCCCCCTCCCCCCCCCCCCCCAAGTATCCATTCTAGCTATATTTGCCTGGAACATTGTATCTCAAAAAGTAGAGGCTTCTAGCTCAGCTGCTTTGGTCCATTCAGGTTTTATTTTCTGGTGTTTCTAGTTTACAGCTTCAGAAAATGTGAAAAGGAAGTTTAGCTTAAGCACAAGTATCTGTTTCAGCAGCTGAGGTTCACTATTACAGTGATATGGGCAGCCATCTAATAAAACCAGTGTAGATTTATCATGTTGTTATGATTTAATTGAAATTGCCAGATCACTACTTAATTCTCATTAGTCCCTTGCAATTTTAAGATAATGCTCAGAAAGGGTAAAATGTAACCTATCTCCTACCTCCCACCCCTACCCCTTACTTTAACGATTCATGGAATACCATGACAGAGTATAAATCTGGCTCTCAATACAGAAAGATGAAAAATCACAAAATAAAATTACAACAAAAGGAAAATAGTGCGTGTTCATGTATATCCACAGCTTTCTTCCAAAGGCCAGATTCTGTGCACTGTACCTGAGCAGAAAACATTCAAATTGCAAAGTGTAACTGGTGAGGTTCTGTGTGTCTTGGGTCCTTTGACCATTCTTAAGTGATCTGCAACTGAGCAGACTGCTGCTGGGGAAGAAGAGAGCAGCCAGGGGGAAGCTGAGACCTGCTTAAGCAGAATTCAGATCCAGAGCTTTGGGCTGTGTTTTCTTGGAGGACAGCTCAGTCAACTTCTTCAGCCTTTTCTTCAGCTCCAAAGGGAACTTCTCATAGCATTTCTTGCACACTGGCTTCATGTCAAATTCCACAAACTTATTCCTTTCAAAGAAATACACTAGCATTACATTCTACTCAGCCATGTCAGGCTTGAAAACTAAGTAAGGCTGATGTGAGGTGCATTTCCCCTATATTTACTATTAATAAGCAAATCTGTTTAAATTTCTCCAAAGTCCTGGTAGCAAATGTACATACAAATAAGTGCCTCCTTCACCCTACTGTTTAAAATAGAATGCCTAAGTGACTATCTGAGAATAAGACACTATTGGTGTTTGCAATACTGTCCAATATGTCTAGTTCTCTTGTGTATCTAACAATAATTCTTATGTTTCTCCTGTAGTACATTGATTCTAAACTATCAGGAGCAGCACAGGAACATTCTGAAACAAAGAGTAGTTTAGCTCACTTTGTCCATGAAAAAAATACCCTTGGCAATGAAGGAAGAACCTAATACCTTCTTGTACATTTAAAAGAAAAAATTCTTTGAGTGCTATTTTGGCCTTACCCAGGTATATATCCATACAAAGAGTTTTTCCTATTAATCATGTTTTAGCTGTTAGAATGTGCCCTTGACAGACACACCCAAAGGTGTCAACCAGTTATTTTGGCTATAATATTATATTGTGGCAAGCTTTGTAGTGCTCCTCTGGGCCCATAAGGAGAATAACCCTGCTGGGTCAGAGTTTTTGGTTTTACTCAGTGGTCAACCAGATGCCTCTGGATGACTGCAAGTAGGAGATGGAGACAGACTCCTATTCTTTTATTGTTCCCTGCAACTGGTATTTGGAGGGAGGCTGCTCTCAAACCAGAGGTACAACTTGACAGACATGTTCTCTATCGATTTATCCATTGCTCTTTTTTATCCATTCCTTTTTAAAGTCATTTAAGCTAGTAGCCATCACCAGGTCTAGTGGTAATACATTCCACAGGTTAGTTGTGCGCCATATAAAGAATAGCTTTCCTTTGCCTGTTCTAAATCTCCTTTCAGTCAGCTTCACTGGACGACCCCTGGTCCTAATATTTTGAGGGAGGGAGGGAGAACAATTTCTTCCTCTTCACTTTCTCCATGACATACATGATTGTATAGACTTTAATCATATTCCCTTCTAGTTGTCTCTGTTCCAAGCTAAAACATCCCATATATTTTAACCTTTCCTTGCAGAGAAATTATTCAAGCCCACCAAGCATTTGAGATGCTCAGTTCAGACTCGACACAGTATTCCAGGTGTGGCGGGACCATGGATAAGGGCATTACAATGTGGCCTGTTTTATTTTCTATCCCTTTCTTGATGAGAGACTCTTTCCTTGCCACTTACTTCAATGTGAGCTTGATGTTGCAGGTAGAACAGGAGAAGCAGTTTACACACCAAGCTTTGTTGAGAGCAGATACCACTAGTGAGAAATAGTAAAGAAAAGGGTGTTATCACACTGGGGCATTGTTCCAAATTCAGTAGACAGATGTGAAAAGAATCATTGAACATTGTGCATGCAGAGCTGCAACAGATGTATTGAGAGTCTCCAGCTTACCATCCCCCTCAATCACATGGCTGCAGTTGTAGCAGACGTCTCCAAAGAGCTGCATAAAAAAAGAACAAAAGCGATAATTTTCATTGAAAATGTAGTAAAGGAAGGAATGTTTCAGTCCTCATAGTTTATTCATTTGGTGCCCCTAGAAGGGTGATCTCAGTTATTGCTCTGAATTTCAGTCTCCTCATAATTTTTCTTTCACAACTGACAAGAATCAAATTTGTTTCCTTAATTCCCAAGAGCTGTATATCTCACACAGTTTTAAAGCACATTTTAAAGGGCAAAATGTTTGCTTTATTTAACTGTACTTTTGAAGTTGAAAGCTGTTGCTCTGAGTTTGTCTACTCATAAGAGATAGGATGAGGACCTGATGAAGGAAGGAGAGTTTATTTACATGCTTGAAGGGTTCTCCTTCATAAGGTTCAGATTTTTTTTTTCAGTTTACACCTAGGAAGTAATTAGGTACGTACCTATTGCTTTGAAAGAACTCATCTACCTTCAGTTATATGGTTTATATCTTTTAGGTTTGAGAGGACTATAGAATATCTTATGCAATTACATCTAAGACATTCTATAGTCAAGGGTTCACTTGGTTGTGTGGGAAGGCTCCTTTAATTGGTGGTAAGTCCTTAATAATAATTGGAAAGTGTTCCATCAGCATGACAGGCTGTATTTTTAATTTATTTGAATATTTAACATATCTCTAGGTTAACTCTCCCAAACTCTAAATACTTCTAGTATTTATTTGGCCCACTAAAATCAATATATTGCAGAGGAAAGGAAGGAGACCAGATCTGATGGGCAGTAAAAGCCTGCTACGTGCTCTAGACAACAAAAATGGATAAAGAGGTAACACAAGATTTCACTCCTCAATGCCAACCCCCTAATCTGAAATGCAGCCCTGCAGAACTTGCATAATGTGAGATGGGGGGAAAGGGAACTCCATGTGCCCTTTTAAAAAATGGGGAAAGACGACGAGCCTCTTTGAGATCCTGGTCTCCCAGAGCAGATGCCCCACAGAGCAATGAGGAGACACCTAGAGAGCGGACTCTCTTGTAGCTGTGAGCAGTGCTACTGATTAGTTTCCTTTGAGAAAGCTGTGGAAACTGGTGTTGTTTTTAAAACACCTTTTTCTTTCTTTATAAAGAAGCACGGCACAGTGAGAAAATAATCTTTCAGCAGTTAGTCTAGCTTACATCAAGCAATAAATTATGCCTCATTTCCCCCTGCAAGACATTATGCTTTCTTCCAGCAAATTCTAACTAGGAAACTCTTGGCATTGACTTCTCTTTCTCCTGCTCTTCATTCAGCTCCATGCTTATGAACGGCTATTTATGGTTAGCAGACCTGAGGCAATTTGATTTGCATTTCCATCCCAAGTATACAGTATTTCTAGCTGTTAAGTACCTATTAAGACTACTGCATCTGTCATAACCTTAACTTTACTTTATATTTTTAATATTTTTAATATTCTCCCATTCAAAATGTGTATCTTGCAGGTAGAACATTATGCCTCCTTCCCTCTATCAAACAAAGAAAGTACCTTATAAAGGACAGTAGACTTTACCTGATTGTAATGAGTCTCACAGTAAGCCAGACCCTTTTTCTCATAATGCCGGTGTCCCAGGAATGGCTTCTCACATTTGGCACAAACAAAATGCTAGAAGGTTAAAAGGACATGTTAGGTCAAAGCGTCTTTATGAGGAGTTTCATATGGGAAAGAAGCAAAACCAGAAATATCAACCTAATGTTATTTCATTGTTTTGTATGTAGTGAACTCCTTCAAGGGGACATTGTTATGGAAGTGTTGAAGCTTTCGAGTAATGCTGAACTAGAAACAATGGTCTAAGGAGGTACCACCTTTGAACAGCTTTCATTTCTATGCTACTGTATACTGACTTCCAATTGATACCAAACAGCTGAGAAGAAATGGGAATTATATACTCCAGAATCAAACTCTGCAATAAAGTCTGTTCTGTTCTACTCCAGAATCCTATGTTACCTTCATTTCACAGGATTAGTGGTAGAATTTCACATGAAACTAAATATTCTGAGTAACATTCATATCTGTGTTGGACTTGAATTCCAGTGTTTCTAAACATGTTCACAGTTGCACCTTTTGAGTCATTACTACCCCAGCAGTCCTAGGTGAATATCTGTTGGTCATAAGCTGGGAATATTGTCTTTTCTTTAAACATTTCCTTTTTTATTTAGTAATATTTCTACATGGCTTCTTACAAATACTGGCAAGGTAAATTTCAAGATGTGAAAACATAACAATAACAATAAAGGAACACTAAGCAATAAAATTATCTTAAAACATTAAAAACAACTTGGATATATGAACTATACCATAAAATTTGAATTACAGTATTTAAAACAGTATATGAAAGTCAATATGACCAGTAATTTATAGTCTAGAATCATGTTTTCTAACGTAGTATCAATCAGTCACTGAATCATATTGTATATATGCTCCAGCATTTGCATTGTGTCTGCTTGCCTTTCAATCACATTTTAGTAACGGGATTTTAAAAAAATAATGGTGGTCCTTCAGATGTTTCTGAACTCCTCCTCCTAGCATCCTTCATCATGGATCATGCTGGCTTCAGAAGCTGGGAATTGTAGTTCAGCACCATTTGGAAGGACACAATTTTCCTGTCCTGATATATTGCTTAGTTTATTTATCCTTCCAGGCAGAAAACTTTCATCCATTATTATTTCATGTATTGTTTGCTATTTAAATATTTGGGACAAGGCAGGCTAGAAATCTAGCTAAATGCAAAATAAAGATTGATTTCATTTAAAAACATATTACGCACAAAGAAACAGTTGCAGCATCTGTTTATTAAATCAGGAAAACACTCTGTGTCAGAAATCACTGGGCAACACTGAATTCCAGCAAGCAGCAGATTGGGGAAGTTCTCACCTCAACGTGCCATTGTTTCCCTAGAGCATTGACCACTCGACCCTCAATAGGCCGGCGACAAGCCCCACAGATTGGAATACCCATCTTGTCATGGCATGGCAGGCAGTAGAGCTCTCCTTTCAGCTCCCTGGCATCAGCGGTCAATTCCTTCCTATACACAACATTTGTAATTAAGACTTTGGGACCAAAATTTGTCACAGATAGTATGTGCTAACAGTCACTACATAATCTAAACAGATACTTACCTGACTTTTTGCCAAACAAGAAAAGAGGAAAATATACCTCCTTAGACTCTCTTTGCCTCATTATTTGTTATGACACATATTTTAGAAGAACTACTTTATAATGGTAGTTCTTAGTTTTATGACTTGTATTTTAAAACTTTAAATAAACAGGTTCGATCAGAAATAATGGGAATTCTAAACCATTGTCCAGTAGACCTCTACAAAGGTTATAGTAAATGTTTATCTAATTAATTTTGTAGCTTGGGAACTTTATAACTAGCTTTTTAGTGAGTGATTCATGCTCAGAGTAGATTCATTTTAATAATTTACTATATAAGAGGAGGTTTATAACTACTTAATACATGGCCAACATACCCACAGTGGGTGCAGCTGAAATGATCCGGATGATAGGAATCGTTCCTGAACATAAGAGGCTGTTCATCAATTATCAAGTGACATTTCTGGCAAATATATTTGCCCAGGCCTTTGGCTTTCTCACGATTGTGGCAAGGCCGACAGAGGTGTCTAAAGTGCAGTTGGAAAGAAAGAGGAATGTTGAGAGACATTCAAATAACAGTAATTTATAATCAAGTTGCTTGCTAGACTTCAGAGCTTCTAAATATTCATGAAGATTAATTCATAAATCATGTTTGGAGCTTGTGTATGATTGCATGAATGATGTTAACACAGAATTGGTCCTAGTAAATGTCAATTTTATTTTTTTCAGCAAATGAAATTTTTGTGTAGATTTTCAAAAAGAAAGTCAGTAAATTTCAAATAACCTTTACAGGTACACACAAATACATTTACATTTATTTTTGCAATTTTTGCTTCCCTATGTAGAACGTGCTGCATCTTGTTTATCTATAGGGCCGAATGCATGGATGTCATGAAAAGCTGATAGATATAACTCTGCAAATACCTACTAGAAAAGACCCCAAAAGCTCAAATTAATGCCACACAGTCTCACAGGCTTCCTGAAAGATCCAAGCAAGGTCATTTGGCCTCTAGGTCCTTATCAATAGAAAGAAGCTAATAATAAATCTCAATTCCACTAGGCCACTGTGGATCTTGTGTTTCTTACAAGTCCCAAATAGAAAGCCCCAGTCAGCATAAGTGGAAAGGAATGTTATTAGCACACTTGCTTCACAAATCTTCTCTGCTCTTCCTCCCTAAAGCTGAAGATACTGAGACAAGAGCTACAGTCCACAGAAAGAAAGCAGACAACCTCCCTTTATAAATGGGAGTATGCAGCTGTGTTGCTCTCAGGATAAAGGCATCAATTTTATTCCTCGCTGTGGAATGAAGTCTAATTATACAGGGCAAGACATAGAGACCCTACTGCAAGTGTCCTAAAAAGAATGCCCTCCCATTCTACTGAATAAGGGGCCTTCAGCTCTTTCCACTGACAAACCATTAGCGCCCCAGCTCATTTGGAAGCCCCTGACTACTATCCTATAGATCCTTGTCCAGTGCAAAGCAAAGGGAGGTCTTAGAATCACAAAGCCGTTACTATGGTAGCCGTCCTTCTCACTCACATTCCCACCATTATGGAATTATCCCTTTCTGAAATGTCCTGTTGTGTCTGTAGCACTAGATTTCCCCTCCCTTTTTGCAATACTCTCCAAGACCTCTAAGGCAGCCAGAGGACTCCAAAGACACAGTGTAAAAGGCAGAGGTTCAAAGAGAGAGGCTTTAATGAGCAGGGAAAACATTGGAATATTCATAAATACAACAATTAGCAGCTCCCTCTTCCAATAGCTTAGTTGGAATGAACACTGTCTTTCACAACAGGCATGTTATCTCTCCTCCTCTTCTGTGAGCAAGATGATAAAAGACTATCACACCTAGCAGAACTCTATATAGTGCAGCTCCCCTTTCACTGAACTTCCTACAGTCAACATCTGATGGAACTTTTCACAGCCGTGTTTTCTTTTCTCAATTTGCTGGCATTGTAAGGAACTCAAAGATTATTCATCACAACTCGATCAGACTGCAAGGAGACTGCAAGAGGTAAGAGCTTTGGTATCAGGGTAGAGAATTAACAACATTTCTTAGCACTAGACAATACAGCATGGTGTTTTCCTAACTTGCATGGTGTTTGCAAATGAACAGTTTCTACTATTGCTGTTCAAAAGGCGTCTATAATGTTAACTAAACAATTGGGCATCCTACTTAATATTACTAGAAATATCCATAATAGATGGAAGATTCTTAATTAAATCCTACATTTATGAATGAATTACCCACTGAGTTAAAACAAATTATCTTGATATAGGTTTGCTCTTTAACTTTCCTAATACCCATAAAAATATGACTGTGGATGAATGAAGAATGAAAAACCTGTTGCCGTTCTAAGAAAATAGATGTAGCTGTGGTTTCTAATGTATTTCTTAAGATAAGTTTTCCCTTAATAAACTAGAGAACTGAATACAAACAAAAGACAATCTGCTGCATGCCTAGAACTTGGGAATGTCTGTTCAAGCTTCATTAAAATATAAAGTAATATTACCTTTTTTTTCCTGTAGACGAAATCCTTTATCTTTTTTTAAATGTCTGGAACACTCTGTGGTCAACTTGAAGAATTAACCCTTGATATTAGTATAAAGTGTTCTGTGTTCCAAGTATTACTACAGTTAGATCCAAATAATACTGGATTTTACGTTTATATGATTTCTATACTTTTCATAATGTCTAAAGACAGTCTTTATATAGCTTCTATTTTTAAAGATTTGTCTACAAAGCGCTTTGATAATCAAACTTATTTATAACAAATGGTACAGGCAATGCAGAGTATATACCACTTCTTTGGAACTGAGTGAAAATATACATATTATAAAAACATAACACAATATTGCATATTATGTATAGGGCTAATTAGGGTTTCATACTTGTTACAGGTAGGACAATTTGCTGAAATATGGCTAACCAAAATTTTAAAAATAGGGCATCTTCTACCAGAATAGTACCTAATTTGCATGCATAGTTATTAAAAAAAATGGCCAGGATTTATGTGTCCATATGTAATGTTTTTGTTTATGCATCTAATTCCAGAGGATCTCCCATTTATCTGGAGTGGCTTTTTCAAAAGCCTGGGGATGAGGTTGTCAGACAAAGCCTAATCAGCATCCAATAGCAAGGAAAACAAACAGCAAGCTTTGCTAGTTCATATAATAAATAATAAAACACAGATTTCTTGGTACTGCAATATTTTTATCCAGCTTTATTTATTTGGTATTTCAGGTTCACATTCAAGACTTGTTGTGAGGAATGAACAGCCAGGCAGACTCTTCAGGCCCATTATTCAACATTTCCCTGGCAAGTTCAGAGCAATGTGGCAAAGAGAGTCACATGGAAAACATCCTTTTTGCTATTTTCTACCTTCTCGACTTCATCCTAGCCTTTCTGGGCAATGTTCTAGCACTCTGGCTTTTCATCCGGGACCAAAAATCAGATACCCCGGCCAACGTTTTCCTGATGCATCTTGCTGTAGCCGATCTGTCTTTTGTGCTCGTTTTACCAACTCGGTTGGTCTACCACTTTTCAGGCAATCACTGGCCATTTGGAGAGCTTCCCTGCCGACTCACAGGGTTTCTTTTCTACCTCAACATGTATGCCAGCATCTACTTCCTCATGTGCATCAGCATAGATCGCTTCTTAGCTATCGTGCATCCGGTGAAGTCCCTCAAACTCCGCAGGTCACTCTATGCTCATTTGACCTGTGCTTTCCTGTGGGTTATAGTTGCCGTGGCCATGGCACCTCTTTTGATCAGTGTGCAGACAGTTGAGATGAATAATGCTACCATCTGCCTCCAACTCTATAGAGAAAAAGCATCACGCCACGCTCTTGTATCACTGGCTGTGGCATTTACTTTTCCATTTTTTACTACAGTAACCTGCTATTTACTGATCATACGAAGCCTGAAGAAAGGGCACCGCATTGAAAATCATCTGAAGGAAAAAGCCATCAAAATGATCATCATGGTTCTTATGATCTTCCTGGTCTGCTTTTTGCCCTATCATATCAATCGCTACATTTATATCCTCAATTATGATGGTGTGAAAACTTCTTGTGAAATGCAGCGGATCCTGGCCCTTGGCAATCGAATTACTTCGTGCCTCACCAGCTTAAATGGCGCCCTAGATCCTGTCATGTATTTCTTTGTTGCTGAAAAGTTTCAAGAGGCCTTGTGTGGTTTGTTTTGCAGCAAAAGAGCTGCAAGGATACCTTCAAGTTATGACGGGAAAACAAATGACAGCTCTTTAAGTGCTAAATCTGAACTGTAAATACTTAAAAACAAGTACTTCCTTAACGAAATGTTGCTGTCCAGCACAATTTAATCCCCTAGGAAGCAGAACAGCTTTTCTCCAAAAGCACAAGATCTAATGCTTAATTGTTAAGGAAACAAGGCATATTCAACAATCCTAACTGAGGAGGGGTAGTGAAGTGGTAGACGGTTGCCACTTCCAATGCCCTGCTGTTCCCTGCTGGCCAGGATGGATGGTATTTCCCCTTTTCCCCCTTCTGCCTAGCATTTTTAAGGGTTTTTTTGGGTTGGGTGGGCGGAATTAACTATAATAGCTACAGAGACTATTGGGAAACATAGTTCTTTTGATTCCCTAGAATACTTTTTTGAGTGTTACTGTTGGGGGAAATATTGCTACCAACAGATCTTCTCATAAACATAATTTGGGCCTACCGGCAATTAAGAAGCACCTACACCTTATCATAATCATTCCAGAAATCAGATCAGAGTGCTTGAAATTATGAATTTTGTGATAATTTTTGCATAGCAAGTAGTAGCAAGTAGTAATTCCATTAGGATATAGACTGAAATTTCAGTGAACACAAGGTTAGTAACTTGTCCAGAAAATAAATGTTCATAGATGTTTAAATAATTGACCATCTAAACATTCAAACAGTGGATATTGAAGTTTCAGTAATATTCAGGAGCTGTCCAATCCTATTTTGTGCCACCTACAATATAACAAGGCAGGCAGGAATTCAGCCCAAAAGCTGTTCAACGTTTAAATCTACAGTACAAACTTTTGAGAGGTTTATGAATGTGGGGTTTAGTTTAAAACAATAAGTAAACAAACTTTAGGATAGGAAGGCCTGGCGCAATATGGTTCATGGGGTCACGAAGAGTCGGACACGACTTAACGACTGAACAACAACAAAACAAACTTTACAATAGTTCCACCACAGCTGCAGAGGGATACAAAAGCTGCTGATTCTTTTGACTATATCTCAGACTGAATAAGTTATAAACATCATATTAGAACCAAGTGCACCTGCTTATTACAACTTTGGCTGTAGATACCATGTTCAACAGCAGTGATTGTACAAACCACAGTTTATTTTATGTACAGATTTTTATGTGACTGAATGTGGTTCATGACTTCTTAGAGAGCTTGCTACAGATCATTTACTTAATTCAGGTTAACAATTTAAGATGTGAGTCTTGCTGGTGCACTTAGCCCTATGTAACATAGATTGCATCTACCATGTTGTCTTAGCAGAACAATGATCATCTGAGGCTGGAGCAACTGCGCTGATGCATCTGCCTGCTTTACTTTGCCAACATAACGTTGCTGCAATTCTATCACAACAAGTTTGTACTATCATGTTTATGATCTTCCCACATATCAGATCCTAGTCAACTTTATACGGTGCAACTAATCAGTAATATTGATGTTTTCTGGTATGTTTAGATCATATGCACATACAGCTAAATGTATAGCTGTAACAGGGTAGATTCATCCCATTTGTCTTTTAGCAGTTCAATTCTGTTTTCTAAACTGAAGCTTGCTGTGACCACAAATATTTAATATCTACTAAAAGAAAGGCACAAGGACTGCCTTTAATTTTTTTAAAATGTCTTTTTAGTAATCTGAACGTTATTAGCCAATACAAAACAAGAAATATAAAAACATAAAGATAGATTCAGAGGATTTACAAACAAATAAAACATCTAACTTTCCAATAATTATCTTCATTAAGGAAAATAATATACATATAAAGAATAGGCTAGAAATCTGAATGTTGCTGCACAGTATTTCTAGGCTATTCATTTTGTTTTGTTTTTTTAAAATGATTTTTGCATTTGTCCTTTTACTTTCTTTATATTCAAATTTATACTTAAAAACTTATACTTAAAAACTGTTATATTTCTTACATAACTGGACATACATTCAAAAGGAGAATAAAGACATTTTGTTTATTATCAAGCAAAATTCTGACTGTCCGCCAACATTGTTGGTAAGTATTATCCAATTCAATATAACTTTATTTATATAGCCTCTTCGCTACTTCCTGGCATTTTGTCTAAAACAATTACCATTTTGAGAATGGCTGCATTCTCCAGACTTTTTGGAGACATACCTCCCTTTCCATAACATATCTCTAGTCTATATAATGTATTCAACTTCACATTTATTTTCCATGCCCATCTCATCAACTGCTTAACGTTTTAACATACAAAATACAGACACAGTTCACATGCTAATATTGTCCTGCAAAAAGGAGTTGAGTATATTTTGAAAGGTATGTGTTCTATACGTACATGCAAAGTGCATCTGAAAACCATACACTTTTATTAATTCTGCCTCATGTATAACTTCCTCGACAGAGTGCAAAGCAGCCTGCACTCCCAAAGTCCTAATATAAATTCAAGGTGCCCTTTATCATCTCAAGAATTATTTTACATTTGTTCCCTCTATCTATTCTTACCTGCCAGCATTCTTCACAAAGCCCAAATCAGCAAGAACTACATCACAGAGTTCACAACGAAAGCATTCGGGGTGCCAATTATTGTTCATTGCTTTGATGACTCGGCCAATGATGAACTCACCTTGAAACAGAAATACCACACTTGATAACCTTAATTGAGCCACTAAATGAGGCAAAGCCAAGCTTGTTAGGTACAGAACTAATATCTGTTTCACTGAACCACAAAGATTCCTCTATAAGGTTCTGAATTTCAGAAATTTTTTTTTTAAAAAACTCAATGTTTCCATGTAACATTTTCTGTAATCCCCTGGGGTCATAAATAAATAATAATACTTTCATCTTAATTTCCTCTCTACTCCCTCCCCTCAATAAGTTAGTTATAGAACACCCAGAATCTCACAACTGGATGGTTTACAAATATTGTTAATAAACAAACAAAATTAGATTTGAATAATTTATGTGGAAATCTTACCACATTCTCCACAGCATGGTGCAAATAGCATCTGGAAGTCATGCTCACAATATTTTCTCCCTTCAAACTGTAAGAGATAAGCAAGATAACATATCTTTATAAAATGTTCACCTAGAAACAACTGTATACAGTGCAGGTGCAAAGCAATACAATTCTTGTTAATATCTGAGGGATATTGCACCACTGCTCCTTACTTTCTGGAAGCTCATTTGAAAACATTTTTCCACCTTCAAATCTTCAAGAGCATTTTGATGCATGCTATTTTAACTGTAACATCAATTAGATTTTTAGTAATAGTGCTCTCACCTTTAATTATCTCACTTTGCTAGTTACACTCTCTGATTTTAAACATAATGCCTTTTTTTACTGGCAGTAAAGAGATTTACTTTTAATGCACAAGAGATAATACAACATGATCTTCTGATGTTGTCTTGTCCTGCATTCTTATCAAATCAATAACATTTCAAAAAAACAAAGGAAGGGAGATATAACTGGATATCTAATATTTTTCTTTGGACTCTGGTTTTGTTTAGAGGCAACACTTATTGATAATTTAGTACTAGATTAAGAAGAAGCCTCTGCCTCATTAGTTTTCTCTTCCTTCTGTTTCACTATCATGGCTCCTAATTTTAACTGACTACAGTGTAGTGTTACGTTTAAAGCTGGATAAACTATGGTTACTCTTAACTATGGTTAACTGAAGCATGTAGGCCTTCATGCCTGGTTTATGACACTGGCTTACAGACATCCCAGAAAAAAATTAAGCATTATTTAATATTCAGATCTATAATGTTCAATGAATGTTCACAGAAATGATCCCCTTTGCAGCTGTGCTAGAGAGTGTGAGTGGAACACAGGATTTCAAGCTAGTACACATAATTCTAAGCTATAATTTAGCATAATCTTAAATCATGCTGACTAGAAATTTTTGAGTTCTAGCCCCAATATTTCTCCAAGATTCTAAACTGAAGAAAGTTGGTTTAGCACTGTAGTTGAACTAGACATTGTTGAACTCTTCTAGTCACTTGTCTAAGAAAATGAGAACTTGCTGAAAGTTGAATGATATCAAAAATTACACATGGCCGAAAAGGGAAGTGGAACACTGAGATTAGAACAGAGGCAATCGTATACTCCATAGAAAACAGTTCAGTCAAGCTTCTCAGTCAGTGAAGGAAAGAAATTAAATAACTTTCCAAATTATTAGAAGTATAATAATCTCACATCATAGAAGAGGCCATCTGGAAACTGACGAAAGCATTGAGCACAGACAAAACAGTTTTCATGATACAGTTCTCCATTGCTGTTCACAATTCGCTCAGTAGGATCGAAACGGGCTCGACAGCGTTCACACACAGCATTTGCAAGGGCATCTGACATATTACTGAGAAACAAAAGAGAAAAATGAAAAAGATACTTCTCTCCTACATTCAAAGTGAAGCCATTAAATTAAGTTATATTAATGAAAATAAACAAAAGTAAATTTTTATGCATTTATTGAGATTCAGGCACAGTGGAGGTGCTAACTATAAAAATTATCAGAAGGTAAATACTTAATGATCCTATTTATGGACAACACTAGGTTAGTGGTTATGGACTTTAATTATGAGTTTATCTGGCTCTAAAGATGCAATCCTATGCATATTTAACCGGGTGTAAACTCATAACTGGACTTCTCAATAAACATGTAGACTCCTGTACTGTAGAGCAATCCAGCTTAGCTGAATCTGAAAAAGTAGTCTTCTAGCCCACAAATGGATGTGAAGTATTTGCTTGGCTCTTATTTTATGCTGCATACAGAATATTATTTATAGGAATCATAATAAATGTGTTAGGATTTAGATGGCATTTTATTAAAAAGTCACAGAATAGCTACACAAGGGGGTGGTAGCTATCAGGGATGCCCTTCAAACTGTCTTTAGAAAGCAGCATAGGTAAAGGTAAAGCTTTTCCAAGCTAAGCTCAGCTCTGGAGACTTCATGGAAACTTTCATAGAGGGTCATGGATGAAATACAGGTAAGTGTTTTACCACTGACTTCTACAGGATATTTCTTTCATTTTCAGCGTAGTTATTCAGCCCAAGTTATTCTCTAGAGGTTTTCCATTCAAGTACTAGCCAGACCCTCCTTAATTTCTGAGCCCAAAGTTAGACAATGGGGCACCTTTAAAAGCATCCAAGACCATTTGTCTTTCCCTTCCTTCTCTGCCTGCCTAGTAATCTGTACATTTTGACTAAAGTTGAGACAAAAGTACAAAAGTAACAACTAAATTGTATTCCTCCCAGCTGCACTCCGATGGTATTCACTGAAGTTACAGCACAGCTTTTATTTGGTGCCCAATGAGATCCAGATAGTTCTTTTGGCCCTCTACAAAGAGTTCAGACCAAATTTTTTAGGAATATATTTGAAATCCCCTGCTGTGTCTCAAAAGCAGTTCTTTGCTGTGAAGCCAGCATCAGTAGGATTGAGATCAATGCCTGGTTCTACATTTTCACATACTGGGCCAAAATATACTGAGGTAAGACACCTCAGATCCTTAGTGGCATCTTTGTGTTACTCTGGTTCAAAGGAATTGGCAAAAAAGTTGGAGCTCCTTGGATTTTCATTAACCGAACTCTGCATATTTGGGTACGTGCAATAGTAATGTTGAAGCAGCAGATTAAAAATATTGATCTCCAGTTAGACCTGGTATTTCTTCCCATGGGTATACTCCTGATCAGCTCATTCACTCTCCTTAGACTTGCTAGATACCTAAATTGCAATCCTTAAGTATAGGATGGCACTGTCCTTGGCCTGATTGGACACCCTTCCTAGAACAGAGATATAAAGTTATCCCACCTTGGGCTGAGGTTTTGCCCATGCGGCAAAGGAGCTATCAAAACTGTTAAGTACTTTTTATTATATTGGCCATTGTATGCTGGCATATGGTCAGAGTTGATAACCCACATTTAAGCAAATTTCCTGGTCATTCTGAACAATTTTATTTATAATGTTTACTTTCAGATGTTCATGACTGTGAAACTCTAAATGTAGCTAAATTCTGCTATGTCATATGCAAAACATATAGCCTACAGGTTGCTACGCCCGGTTAATTTTGCGATTTGTCCTTTTCATATATTTGTAACCTGTTTTATACTATTGAGGGTTAATATGTACTGGTCTTTGACTGCTATAAAGATACTTAAATTGACGACTGAATTATAAAATTATAGCCATTATCTGTTTATTGGCTCCATAGTCCTGGAAGTATTATTATTAATAATTAGATTTGAATCCTACCTATCCACCCAATAAAAATTATGCTTAAGGAACTAAATAAAAAGAAAAGTATCAGATAAAACTATTTAACACAACATTCAAAACAAACATAGTAACCGCACACCTAATCTTTAAACAATAATTGACTAACACCATTATTAATCAA